CTGACTTATAAACTGCTCTATAAAAAATTCTTCATATACACATTCTGTTCTGCAGTTTTTATTATTTTCGTGGGTGAATGGGACCTGCGCAAAGCCGTTCTGGCAGGACAGTCGGACAAAATGCAACGCTACTTTGACAAGTGTTTTGAAGAAGCTGCCATCGTGTTAAGAAATATGCAAGAAAATGGATCCAACGCTACTAGGGCATCCCTACTTATGGACGGGGCCTTGTTAAATATCCCGCTTCAATTTTGTCCAGGATGTAAGTCTGACTTGAATACCTATGTATGTTCATAAGTATTAACGAACACGGGATTAATTAAGGGTCAATTTTCAATCTCAGACTGAGACCCGTAATATTTCAATATTCATCTCATCCTACCCCTGTTTGATTTTTCTTTAAATCAAAATTTCTAACTCTATTACATTTCATGAGTTTTAAATGCAACTTATTGAATTCTATAAAGTTATGGGCTTGAAGAAACGTAGACTGTTTTGTTACTTGCCACTTTCAGAATACATTTCCGTGAAAACTCAACCTGATTTTTCAACCTGAGCGTTTCGTAATGACAAAAAATAACTTTTGCCAAGATGCTTCTAGTTAAAAAGAGGTTACATTTGAAATTAAATATATCTTTGAAACTACCCAATAAGCACATTTAATTGGGGCATGATACATACGATAAGATAAAAACTGAAGGACGCATTAACTTGCCATCAGAGTTGAGTCGGATGTCCGTTTATTCGAAGAATTCTTGACTCCACGCTATAGTTCCGAACAGATCAGATAATCGTGTATCTGATCTGAAAATTTCAGATATGCAAAATCGTTCTCCGATCTGATCTGAAATTTTCAGATCAGATAAATGTCATATCTGATCTGAACATTCAGATATCTGATTTATCTGTTCAGATTTCAGATATCTGAAATAAAATTGTCAATATTGCAAACACTACTAAAAACATTTCAGGTTAAATTATTTATTTGCTTCTTTTTATTTTCACACATTGATAAAGGAATAGTAAAGAAGTTACTACTAAAGAATATTATTATTTGAGGTCGAAATATCATAAAATAATTTTACATCAAATTACCCAAGCATCAAAATAATTATATCCTCTAGCAAATCACGACTGTTACTAATCTGAAGTAAAACCATCAGAATTCTGTGGTTAATTGCCTCGATGATTTTAAGATAACCCGATCACCTCAGTCTAACTTTAGAATTTTTGTGATTATTTCAGTTGTATTATTCGAAATTTTTATTCGAACTCTGGATATTTAAATCAACGGAGACACCAAGAATTTGGACTATTTGCAAGTTTATTATAGCTGCACGGTATTAACAAACATTATAAACGCAGTTTTTCTGTTAAAACTTGCGGTTTTGACTCGATTGAATCAGAAAATTACCAAAAACCAGATATCTGAACAGATATCAGATATCTGAAAAAAAAATTCAGATCAGATATCTGATTTTACGACTGACTATCTGATCTGATCTGTCATCTGATTTTTTAATCAGATCAGATATTTTTGGTATCTGATCTGGCAATTATCTGATCTGATCTGATATCTGATCTGAATTATCTGATCTGTTCGGAACTATACTCCACGCGATCCGATCAGTTTGACTCGGATGGGATGTTTTAGACCCAAAAACGGACCAGGGAATTTTTGGAAAATCTAAAAAGCGATAGGTTCTGTTTTACATCAGAAAAATGTATGGGGTCGAAACAGATTTTGTTTTTACTCCAAAAACCGACTGGTTTTTTTTAAATCTATGGCTCGACTCAACTCTGCTTGCTATGTAACTATCCCGAATGCATATAGCACCTTTCCACTCAAAATTTTGCAGGTATTCCTTTCTACCTCTATCTCGTGCAGACGTTGGGTGCCCATTTCCCAAACCTGCTTAATCTTGCGATCGTACTAAATAGTAAGAACACATATGAACCACTTTACCTCCATTTTTCGGAAGTCATTAAAATTTTGCACCTTGATTTTATACGCAGCTCCAGACTTTGTAATCCCCATCTGGACCAACCTGATCAAACCATTTGCACCTTTAGAGGTCCGGAAGATCATCGAGCTCTACGGAAGGAAGAAGAGTGATTGGCGGGATGCTTTGGTCACCAAGCATGGCATCGATTGGACTAAACTTAGCCACGAAATGGGCGGCGATGGGCCTGACCCTGTCGACGGTAACGAGCTCAGAAAGAGGGGACACTGGTATAAGTGCTCGGTTCGTTAATTTAAATATGCCAATATTTTGATATTAAGCCTGCTGGTATCTTTGTTTTCTAGCATTAAAAATATAAATACATAGTTTCCCATTGACAATTTAAGTATTATGTAACAAACGAAATATTTACAATTTTTGGACTTTTTTTATGTAATCCTAAAAATGTTATGATACGTATATAAATATATATGAAATCGTAATAAGTATCACGCACTTAATAAATTCATAGTTCTACAGTGTAGAATCTAAACTATACGTATGTACATATTTGGGGCTGTTCATAAATTATATAATACAAAAATCGTTTTTTTCTACATACTTATTTAATACATAACATATACATACTATTCGTTTTAGACTTTCCATCCACCCAATATAGCTTTGGATCAAGCAAGTCCGACGTCGAAAAAAGGCGTCCAGGCACGACGTCCAAAAATTATGTTAGCCGAGTCAGCCGAATTATCCTATTATTTAACACCAGTTTATTTTATTTTGACGTAGAAGTCATTCAATTACCCAAATTCTTGACACGAATTGAATAATTTGAACGCCAAAATAAAATAAACTGGTGTTAAATAATAGGATAATTCGGCTGACTCGGCTAACATAATTTTTGGACGTCGTGCCTGGACGCCTTTTTTCGACGTCGGACTTGCTTGATCCAAAGCTCTTTTGGGTGGATGGAAAGTCTAAAACGAATAGTACATACATACCTATCTAGGCTCGTTTTGGAACGTTACATCGCTATTTTTTAATTATTGTTAATTAACTACCTTATATATGTATGTTTCAAGCAACTAGGTATGTAGGTCCGTGAGAATCGTGTGAAATGTATCTACATACATATTAACATTATAAGTACATACATATTTATGTATTTATGTATTTATGTACCCTAATTCCCTGGAAGAATAAACCTGTATTCACATCAAAGTCGTTAATTATTTATCACCTTTCATTTATTTGCTTAAAAGGATACGTGTTCCAATACTCCAGTTATGCAAATTTGCACAAAAAAAATTTCGTTTTCCTTATTAAACGGTTAAAAAACTACTCTATTAATCTCGCACTGTCATTTAGAAATACCTCTGTATTTACGTATGCACGCATAGTAAGATGATAGCATCGCAAGGTGTGATTCGCCATTTACGAGAGGACAAGGTCAATGTCGAACACGAGGAAGTTTCATAATATGAAACTATCTTCATGCAAATAATAATAGTTGTGGCAGATATGCAAAATCTTGCATGTAAGAGATAAATACATACATACATACATTCTGTCTCGTCTCAAGAATTTATTACCATGGTACCTGCTCCAATTAAAACACATCTTACCTTCGCAATTCCAGTTTAATCACATGAGTCATCTCGACATGACATGGTTAGAAATCTAGCATAGTCACTCTAGGTATTAAGTTACTACCGATTGGTATTAAAATTATACCGGATAGTAAAAATTTACTGCTCACAAGGTTTTACATAAAGAACGTCCGGGAATGAATGGGAATGGTCTGAAAATGTGGTCATAAAATCACAATGAGTTATCGGAATTTTAAACTTTTTGCATATGTATAATACCAAATACGTACCTACATAATTTAATTAATAGCTAAGGCCGCCACACCCCCGTTGGCGACTAGTTCGATTTTCTTGCGAAGATTTTTCATTAAATTTTTTCCCGAAGTTTTTGCCACTTCCGAGGTGATTTTCTTCCATCGTCCTTTGAATTTTCGAAAGGTGTCAGGCACATCTTGAAGCCGGGAGTATACTGACTTAGAACGTGCCCAGAATTTTTCGATTGGGCGGAGTTGGGGTACATTAGGTGGGTTGATATCTTTTGGTACGAAATCAATATTTTTCTTTCTGAGGTACTCGGTCACTTTCTTTGCATAGTGACAAGTGGCGAGGTCAGGCCAAAACAAAACTTTATCATTTTTGTGAAACCTATTAATAAATGCTTCCAATCCAGCCTTGACGCAATTTTTCAGATAAATATCTTGATTGATATTCCCTTCGAGAACTACCGGGTCTGATACATGTCCGTGACTGGAGATGCATTGCCAAATGCAATATTTCTTTGGAAATTTGTCTTTTTTTCGTACTTTTTCTTCATAAGCCACTTCAGAGGGATCCGAGCTATGAAAAAAATGACGCCCTGGAAGATTTGAAGGGTCAACCGGAACATACGTTTCGTCATCCAGGATCACTACTTTTCCACGCATTTTCTTCAACAATTTTTGACAGCAATCCTTGATCCGACTTTCTTGTACGGGCTTGTAATTTGGTGCAGGTTTTTTGGTCCTTGCTTTGATTCCTAATTTATGGACCTTAATTTCCCCCAGGTAGCTTTTGGAAATTTTGACTTTCCTGGCAGCTACAGCTACTGACGTTGATGGCTTGGTTTTGAAAATTTTTTCAATTCTATTTTTCACTCGAGTGGTCGCTAGCTTCGCCGGACGACCAGCTGGCTTCTTGAATTGCACATTTTCGGAATCCTTGAACTTTTTTATGTAGGAATACACATTTGAACTTGGAATTCCTTCCTGCTTAAAAAAGTTCCAGGTCACCTTGGAGTCTCGGTTGGCTGTCGTGTTGTAGAACTCCATCACTCGTTTTGCTAACAGCTCCCTTTCAAACAAGCTTCTTCTACCCTTATCCATTTTTGAAATTTAAGAGTGATATACCAAATTGACCCTAATGAAGTGGGCTTTCAGAAATTTAAATTATTATAGTTCGCGGGTTTATTGATTTGTCAATATACTCGCTAGAGCGCGCATTCCCATTCATTCCCGGACGTTCTTTACATACACCTTAATACCAAGCTATTATTAATACTATATACATCGTATTACCCATAAGCGTCAGTTTGTCAGAGTCATATATGAACACCGGTTGGTATAATTTTAATTCTGGATTTCTATATAGGAGTGCATGTATGTAAGATTTCAGTTTTTTAGATATCGTGCAAATTTTACGACGACTGGATTCAGTACTATTCCACGACAAGAGCAAACAATTATAGCAAAATGTGTACACCTGTCTTGCTAGTGTTCTTCATACTTAATGGAATTCTTGGCCAAGCGCAAAACGAAGACTTGGTAATAAGTTGGGAACAGAAATTAAAATTGGATGAGGTAAATTTTCATGGTCGTAAAATTTGAAGTTTTTAAACTATTCTGGAACTGTTCAATATTAACATCAAAAGCATTAAGAGTTCTCAATTTTGTAGAAAAGATTAAAACACAGTCTTCCGAATCTTGTTTGTCATTTATTGGCTTCCTAAAAAAACTTCCTTACAATATATTTTAGCAATAGCTTAACAGTGATTTGTAAACATACATAAATAATACGCTAAAAATTATCCCTAGTTTAGGAAAATTATGGAGCCCAACCTCCCTCACGACTACATGAAGAAAGACATATACCTTGTAAAATGGCTGAAAGGTTCGTAAACTATAAATACTTCTTTTTGCCGGGCTCAAAATGTATATTGAAGCGCATTTATTTTCTAAAACAGCCCGCAACTTTGATATTCCCGCCGCCACCAAGATGTTACAAGAGGTATGCACGTGTCTAAAATTAAAATATTACTGTATAATAACCTCCATGACCTGCTACCCTTAAGAACCTGCGGTGGCGTCAAGAAACTAAAATGGACACCATTTTCAACGAGGATTGGTCCGAAACTAATACCCAATATCGGTTCGCCCTCGATGGTTGCGATAGACATGGAACTCCAGGTAAAGCCAAGTACATACTCAATCCGGATTTTTATAAACGAGCGAAACGGAAGTTCTTTGAACTGTGTTAAATTTGTCCTTCACTGAAATTAGTGGAATTTCGCAACAAAGTGTACATACTAGTCAAGAGTGTGCGTTCAAATCAATTGCAAAACGCTACTTATGGACTGTCCGGTGAAGTTAAGTGTCAAACTATTTTGACCTGCAGAAAATGAATTCATGAATCAAATCTAACGAAACTTTGGTGGAATACGAACTATGGAAATACCAAAGTTTTTCAACCCTTCAGTGGTTCAGATACCCCTTCCGTACCGGTGGAGAGAAAATTTTGCCGAGGACCCCTCACGAGCGCTTTGCCACTCGTTTGACAACGCATATGACGAATTTATCCATAACCCGCCGAAATTTTTTGGTGTCCTTTTTTCATGAGAGTACTATTTCTCAATTTATGCCCAAAATCATTCAATCGGTCGACACTGAGGTACTTTTGGGGTGCTGTCTTTCTCATCGACGAAATCAACTTTTTTTCCTCGAAAATATTCTGTCACTATTTTCGTGCTATGGCACGTAGCCATGTCCGGCCAAAACAAAACGCGTTTGTTTTTGATAGAAGGGGTTTATTGCTTGATGATAAATACACTCTTTGAAATAAAGTTCAAAGTTCATATTCCTTGTGGAAGCGAATGGATTTGAGACGTTCCCATTTTTGTCAATCTCCGGCCATCTTATGCATTTCATCGGAAATTTTGCTAGGTTCTGAATTTATATTTCGAACGAACGTCATTTTTACTTCTACATGAGTAGAACTTTACTAGTTTGACCATTCGAGGTCAACGGAGCAATAGTTTTCATCATCCATGACGAGAAACTTCTAGGAGTCTATTTCAACATTTTCTCAACAAATTTTCGATAAATTGTTAAAGCTCCGGCCTCTTCATCTTCATTGTATTTTGGCGCGGTTTTAATGTTTCAAGTTATGAAGCCCATGTTATTGGCTTTGATTTTGGGAAGATAGGTTTTTGAAATTTTTAGTTGTCTGGGTGCAACCCTCAGGGATATGTTGGACTTGTCTCAAAAATATTTTTCACGTTTCGCATGAGTATATTGGTCTCCTCGCGGACAGGTTGACAAGGCCAAATTTTATATTTTGCATTTTCACGATCCTTAGATACGTCAAGTGTGTGATGAATTTTGTCGCATGCATCCCTTGACGGATAAAGTGGTCACGTGCCGTTTTCCGATCAGAAAAAATCATTTTTCGCACTAGTGGCAAACTAATTTTTCAACTTCCTTTAAATTTTGTGCTGTCATTTTTTAACCAAAAGAGATAATCAAATTCTGTTTTCAGTTTTAGAAAGCTTATCAAATTTGCCAGTTTTTATGCGTTTTACATGTGCATAATTCATTTTTATCTGGGTGAACCAATAGAGGGAACCTTGACACTATCTTTCACCGGACAATCCATACATAAATTTCTTATTTCCGCTTTAATAAACTTGCTCACATGAAATCCGAGTGCTGGCCTTCAGTACGTTGACGGATCATGAAAGGAAAACTAGTACACACTCTACGTATGTAAATACCTTGGAAACAAGTCGTCAGTGGCGATTTGTCACCCGGGGGTACCTTTATGCTCTAATGATTAGAGGGACGCTTTCTTTACTCATTACCCAAAAATCAGTAGACAACTGATGCGCCAGACAAACATGACGTCGTAAATATTTAAACAGTTAAGCATTTGAATTATCTGAACAAATTACGGGATTTTTTTATACATATAATTGTTGAATTTCTTAACAACGACGTTTGTTATGTTTGTTTGGTACATGATTTTTTTTACTTATTTTCCGTTGTTGACAAATCATGTCCGTAATCATTACACTAAAAATAGATCATTATATGTATCTATGTACCTAGTACCCCCACGGGTTACGCTTTGTGTCAAAATTACATATGTAGCGCGTGGGAATCTATTGAAAAAGCCTGATTTTGGAACCGCTTCTTTAAAAAAAACTTTCAACTAAAAAATTATAATTTTTGCAGTTTTTATTATTTTCGTGGGTGAATGGGACATGCGTAAAGCTGTTCTGGCCGGACAATCGGACAAAATGCGACGCTACCTGGATAAATGTTTTGAAGAAGTTGCCACGGTGTTAAGAAATATGCAGGAAAATGGATCTAACGCTACGAGAGCATCACTAATGTTGGACGCGGCCTCGTTAAGTATCTCGCTTCAATTTTGTCCAGGATGTAAGCCTCATCTACATAATACATACATCTATCGTACATATAAACTCTCCCATCCGGCCCTCCTTACGTCGTACTCCGCTTAAAAACTTACAATTACAGGTATTCCTTTGTATCTCTATCTTGTTCAGACTTGGGGAACCCACTATCCAAACTTGTTTAATCTGGGCGTCGTCATAAACAGTAAAAATACATATTCACATACATAAATATCTTCTAAAGGCGCTAAGTTTTTAAAATTTTGTCCCTTAATTTTTAATATGTACAGGTCCAGACTTTCTAGTCCCCATCTGGACCAACTTGATCAAACCATTTTCTCCTTCAGAGATTCAGAAGATCGTTGACATCTACGGAAGGAAGAAGAGTGTTTGGCGGGACGCTTTGGCCACCAAGTATGGCATCGATTGGACTACCCTTAGCCACGAAATGGGTGGTGATGGGCCCGACCCTGTCGACGCTAATGACCTCAGAAAGGCGGGGTACCAGTACGAGTGCTCGTCAAGTTAGATGGATGCAAATATATGAAAATATATGAAAATATTTATCATGCTACATAAAAGGCTATCTTTATGAATATGGATTCCTGCATTAAAATAAGTAGTGAAAATGTATGCATCACGGGAAATAAATGTTTATAACTTTTTTGATTATACTAAACTTAATATATGTATAAGTGCTACGGTACGCATGTACATATGCAATCGTACGTAATTCGTCTGCTGTATGTAACAAATAAATTCGTATCGTTTTCGGTATGGTATCGTCTCGTATAAATTTGTATTCGTAAAGTTTCTTTTTCAATATGTATGTCATAATCGAGCACAAATTTAATTAATACGAAATTTATTTACAAATACTGTATGTGCATTTGCTATTGTAGATATTTACATACCTACATACGTGTAGAATTTGAAGTTATTTGGTGGTAATTTATATATCGATGTGAGAATGAAGCGAAAAAAAACATTATCGCCTATCGCTTTGCTCCTGACTGTGGGCATGTACATATTTTCACTGATTAAAGTAACCTGCAAATTCAGATGACCCATAACTGATTGCACTTATGGATGATATGGAGAGGTTTTAATTCTGTTTATTACCGGAAGTCATGGTTTGTAATGCATTGGAAAATATGAAATACTTGTCATGGAAGGCATGAATTCACTTTCAGTTGAGATTGGACTTGTCAAAGGGTCGCATTTAATGGAGACCCTAAGTGACAGAATGAGATACCCTAAGAACGAAACCCTACGGTGGACTGAATGGCCGTCCCTAGCAGGTCGAAAATAATAGCTAACAACTGAATCTCGACCCTAAAGTTCTGATAGTTCAAAATCGTTGATGTACATCAATTTTAAGGCAATTACATCTCGATTATCTTTTATTGAAACCATTTTTTAGAGTTGGTTCTTAAATTCATAACAAATTAGTCAACAACAAGGGCTCGCTTGCAATTATTTGGGGTCTCTGGTCCAGATTTTAACCCAAGAGATACATTTTTTTCAATATGAGAGATATCAAAATCTCTGCGAGTGTATGCTAGTCGGATTAAATGCTCACAAATATGCAGCTTTTGAAATAATTTACAATTAGATGGAGAAATCAACCAATTTGATTATTGTTCTTTTATCTGTGTATACGAACTACAGACACTCTAAATAAAAATAAGTACAATTTACTCAAGGTTGAGTAAAAAAAAGTGGATGACAAAACCAAAAAGTATAATTTATCCAATCATTGTGCAAAATTTGTCCAAAGTTATGTACGTAAAATGTCCAACGGGTGGGTAAATTTTGCACAAAGTTTACTATTTTTAACTTTCGGTAGTGTCATCCTCTTTTTTTACTCAACTTTGAGTAAATTTTATTTATTTTTATTTACTGTGCATGATTTAGTTAAATAAAATATATTGGGACATTAGGGAAAAGTTTAAGATAAATAAGAATGGTTATTGGTAAGTTAAAGAAGGCCATTCAGCCCACCGTAGGGTTTAGTTTTTAGGGTAAATAACTCGTTCAGTCATTTAGGGTCACGATTAATATTTGCCCCTTGTCAAATGATTTGCATACGTACATATATACGTATGTACCTCAAGCAAATACTGATAACAATTCTCGCAATAAAACTTTTTTTGTATAACAATAAAGACTTTATTATAGGTAGTTATTAACGTGTTATTTAAATTATAACAATTTTGATTAAAACAACCCCTTCTTAACAAAGATTTTCAGTATACATTAACAAAATTTATTAAGGCTATATAGGGTAACTAAATAACTGAACAAATACATATAAATCTATTCTAAATAAATAATTTATTCAATGTGTCAAGCAAACTTTGAGATTATACAAGATGAATACAATCTAGCGATGCATGCATTTAGGTAATATTTACTCCAGAATGAAACATGGAATAAATATTACACTTGCCATGTCAAACTTTTTGCAACGTGGGTAAATGTTAATCTTATTTAAGTATAAATATTCGTGAATTAATTACCTATGAATATCTCAGTGACAACACTCTAATCAAATGTATCTTGGCACGAGTTTAATATTGCATAATACATATTTATTTCAACAGCATCCTTAATACATATGTCACTGAGACCCCCACAGCATTAAATTGTAGTCTACATACGTATGTATGTACATTTGTATATGTACATATATTTCTTGCGAGATTAGTAAAATTAAACAGAACATAATACACTGCAATGATACATATGTAAATATACTTATTTGTATTAACTCAGAATGAAACTAGATTTTATGAAGTTGAGTTTTTAAATAAATAAAAGCTGAATTTTAATTATTATAACTCTTTGCGCAATTATTGTGAATTTCCTTGTGCAATCAAACCAGGATAATCCTCGCAGAGACCCTGGGACCCAAAAGAGCTACTTTTGTACGTATATCATCCTGCATTATGTATGAAGGAGGAAAAAAAGGGTACTGGAACTGTCAACAAACGGGTACAATCGTCCGGTTTCATTTATTCTAAAAGGGCATTGGCGAAACCATGTGACCGCACAACTATACCTTTCAGTGTGGAATACAACAAATTGTTTCTACTATGAAATAAATAGCATGCAGTTTAATTTGCTGATGAAAGTCGTCTTTACTAAAAAAACAAAACTCAACACGATAAATGGCGATGCCTAAGAACCTCATGCGTGTCGCCAGGCCCATTATGACTAGACAATTTCAACAAGAATTTTCCATATTTACCGATTCGTGCATGTTGGCAACACAACCTGGTATGTATGGCGATGACAATTTAGCGAAAATACATTATTCTACTAATTGCTATTTGAATATTAAGTAGTAGAGAGGGTAAGAGGGTATCATTAAAGACAGTGTGTGTGTCTACAAGCAGCCATCATAACTGATTATCATGACGATGTAAATTTTTAAGAGCTTGTCAAGTGGATAAAGGAAAAAGTGATGCGCACTTTAAAAAACGTAAGAGCAGTTTTGTGCAGGGAATTTAAAAAAAGTTTTGAATAATTTTTGTGTAGCAATTCAAATCGAGTAAATATCACTAGTATCGCCCCTAAAGAGGAACATGTATCACTGGCTGGATAAAATTAAATCTAGGCCTGGCTTGGTGGTCAAGCTAGGACCTATAAAGGACCGTCCAATAAGTTTTAGCCAACTATCAGAATAATGACTTTGAAACCGCAGGGGAAGAAGTCCATGTGTAGGACGAGTAGGGTTGATGAATTTGGAATCGATCATATCGGCCACATAACAAAGGACTTTTACAACTACAACCAAGCTCATCTACTTGATTCAAATTACAACGAGCTAATTGCAGATGTCATAATAGAAAATCAACGATAGAAGATGCAACCGAATTGAACTGTTCCAAATTCTCGGCTTACTTACGTCTAACTTACAACGATGAATGGTATTCATCACATGATTCAGTCAGCAAATGTGGTCTAGATAAGTATTCATTTTCAGAAGGGAAATGTTTAGTAGATCAATTGACACCATTGTGCTACAAGAAGATCCATGAAGCTATAACAACATGTATTATTACTATTTCCTAACGATATTATCAATTATTATAAATTCTTAGTCGCAAAGTTATGTATTCAAGTTTTTCCTTTTTTAGACACCTCAAAAGTATTGGAATTTAATAATCCACAATGAAAAATAATAAATGCAAGCAAGAATTTATAATTTATATATGTACAACACCACATGCACAATTTTCTTGGGGTAAAAACTGTACAGCTCAATTTTGGCTATAAAGGCTATAACTCCAATGGAACTGGGAAATTAAAAACTTAGTTGTTGTGTAAGGAGAATAGTTGGAAATGCTTGACATACTAAATGCTACCCTATGCTACTGCTACCCCAGTCAACAAGTATGCCATTCGAGTAAAATTTCATGTTTGTTTTACAAGAACAAACAGAACGCTACCTAAGTCTTTTTATATCAAAAAATCACATTCTTACCAGGAATTTTGGAGACAACCCAATTCGCTGCTATTCGTGCATTCGACTGCTTTCACAAGAGCAGTGTTGTCATGAAGCCATAGGAACAGTCCAAAAATCAGCGTCGCATTTTTATCATGCCAAAGGTCACTTATACGACGACTGCTTGATTATGTGAACTCGCGAGCATACGTACGTCCATATCTACGTTTACGAACACACGTTGTCGCGACAAGACATACCCTCGACAAGGAATATTTTGGAGAAACTTCTTTTGAATCGAAAAAACGTTACGCAGAAATGCCCGGAGTAGTTATGGAGTATGCAAACAGCATCACGCCAACAAAATTCGAAACTTTTTTTTGGTACCCCTGGTGAGAAGTTACCATACGCTATTGTCATACAAGGCAGCGCAAAGCAACAATCTTCAGTAACAAGCCTTGTACTCGGACGATAGGTTACAAAACTCGAGGTGGAAATAACCAAAGAGTTGGAAAATACAATCAGGGATCGCATTGTCGACGTCGTGGTGTACTCTTTGCCAACAGCCATCACCTCGTGAAATTTTTTCCAAAGCGCCTTGGTTAACAAAGGAAGTTCTATTCTCACATATTATAAAGTAAAATTGAGTGGGATAGAATGCCCTTCATCTCCTACTCTCTCCACAAGGAGAAAACGTGGAACAGACAATCACATCCACAAAAAACGAAGAAAATTTTAAAGCAAATCTTTCTTTCGAGTATTCGCACCACCATAGCTCCAACAACTCCATTATGCACGGTGAGGAATTATGTCGCTGAGCTACGGCAGAATTTATGTGTGACACTGATTCCCATCAACACCAGTTGAATCCCGAGGTTCATCCAACATTCAAGCTGGCGGGTTAAAATCCACCTCTCAAACGACGGCGCTAAGAAGACGACGACTGCTAAGAGCCCTGAAGGCAGATGAAATTCTATGCATGGACGCAGCCCTTAACTACAACCCCATTAAGCTTGTATAGTTGATGGAGTTATGGAAACCAAATAACGCCAGCAACATTAACCGATATGTTATTTCCAGTCTCTAACGACTTCGACAAAACATCTGTCCTCCACCCGTATTCTGACTGGTTTGGGCACATCAAAGTCCAATATAGCAAAAAGGAGCCCTTTCAAATAAATTCATGTCAACCTTTGGCCTAAAATTCCTGATTTCGACCCTGCCTGATGAAGGGCACGGGTGCACCGCATTCTCATTGCCTAAAGTAGTTGTGAAAATAGTCTACTACTGTGGACTAATTAGTCTAATTAACCCATATGATTAATCAAAGTGTCATGCATGCC